AGACGCAGGGTCTCTGGTTGTATTCTTAAGTCCTTGATCCATATTGAGTTGAGTTTTGTGCATGGTGAGAGATAGGAATTCAGCAAAGTAGCAGGATATAAAATCAACACCTTTAAATCAAATGCATTTCTGTGCATCAGTGACAAATCCTCAGAAAGAGAAATGAGGAAAACTACCCCATTTATAATAGCCTCAAAAAACAAACAAACAAAACAAACAAATCTTGGGAATCAACAAAAGAGGTGAAAGATCTATATAATGAAAATTACAGAACCCTAAAGAAAGAAATCAAACAAGACCTTAGAAGATGGAAAGATCTAATTTGCTCTTGGATAGGCAGAATTAATATTATCAAAATGACCATACTACCAAAAGCACTATACAGATTTAATGCAATTCTAATAAAAATCCCAATGACATTCCTCATATAGATAGAAAAAAACAATCATGAAATTCATCTGGAAAAATAAGAGACCCAGAACAGCTAAAGCAATCCTTAGCAGGAAGAATGAAGCAGGTGGCATTCCTATACCAGACCTTAAACTAGACCACAGAGCAATAGTAACAAAAGCAGCATGGCATTGGCACCAAAACAGACTGGTAGACCAATGGTACCAAACAGAGGACACAGAGACTAACCCAATTACAATTATCTTATATTAAACAAAGGTGCCAAAAACATGCATTGGAGAAAAAAAATTGCTTCTTCAACAAATGGTGCTGGGAAAACTGGAAATCCACAAGCAACAAAATGAGATTAAACCCCTATCTCTCACCATGCACAAAACTCAATTCAAAATGGAACAAGGACCTAGGAATAAAACCAGAGACCCTGCGTCTAATAGAAGAAAAAGTAGGCCCTAATCTCCACCATGTGGGATTAGGCCCCAATTTCCTTAGTAAATTTTACTTTTAAATAAATCAAAAGAACAATCTTTTATTTACCAGTTCTCTTAATAGTGGTTGTATAGATAGTGAAGTCAATCTATGGATAGAAGTCAAGGATGATGCTAAATATCCTGCAGCACACAGAATAGCTCACCGAAAGAGAGAATTACATAGCTCCAAATGTCAATAGTGTCAGGGCTGAGAAACCCATCAAAATAATATGCATTGTTGTTGTTGTTTAAAATTGTTTTACATGCATTGTTTATATCAATTACTTTCAAGATTCTTTCTTTATAGCTGTGTTTTTCAGCACATTAACTATAATGTGCCTATGCAAAATTCTACTTTTTTTGCTTTGTAAGAAAGGTCTCTGTGTCTATTAAATCTGTTTTTTGAAGCAAATTTGAAAATTTTTATTATTACTTTTTTAGATACTTTATGCTCCATTTATCTTCCTCCTCTTCTCCTCAGACTCTACTTACATGTATTTTAGACTGATATTTAACTTAGGTCCTTGAGAATGTATTCATTGCTCTTCAATCTCTTTTCTCTTTTTTCTTCCAATTGACTTATTTATTTTTATCTGTTTTTATGTTTATTGAATCTTTTTTTCCTGCTTGCCCCAACCTTCTGTAATGTCCATCCATTATATTTTTTAACACGAGAAATGATACTTTTCAATTCTAGAATTATTCAGTTGTTTTTAAATGTATACTTTTTAGCTGAGATTTCCTATCTGCTCATTAAATCCATCTTTTTCTTTAAGTTTTAGCATAATTATAATAGCTGCTTTAAAGTCGTTGTCTATTAACACCAACATCTGGATCAACTTGGGGTCAGTTTCTAGAAACTGCTTTTTCTCTTAACTATGGGGCATACTTTTTTGCTTCTTCAAATATCTAGTAATTTTTGTTTACTGGACTTTGTGAATGAAATGTGTAGAGAACACAGATTCTATTACACTCCTCCAAAGAGTGTTTTTTGTTCTAGTTGTAGAAGGAATTAAATTTGCTGAACTTAAATTCAAAACTCTGTCTTTACCCGGGGTGGAGCTGACTCTCTCCTCCCTTCCTCCCAGCTGCTGTTCTCTACCAGGTCTTCAGAGTCTCCCTCAAGCTGAGTGTCCATACGGATGTTGAGGCTCCAACCCACGCAACTTCCTTTTTCCTAGATTTTACTTCTTACTTCATAGCCTCACTAACAGTCCTAGAAATCTGTCTTCTGACTCTTCAAGTGGTTAAGACTGAGAGGATTTCTGCGCAAACTAGACGCTGGTATTAGGCAAAAAGTAACAGAGACAAATTCCATTCCTGCAGAGTCCCCATCTTTTGGGGGCTAATTCTGCCTGCTTTGGGTCATTCTCCAATGTCTTCAAATAACAGTTTTCTCTTCATATTTAGTTCAGTTTTTATAAAAGTTATCTGTAGGAGGGATGGTGTGTTATAAGCAACTTCACTAATACTGGAAATGCCAACTATTGCATTTTAAAATGTGAGAGTTTTATTTGAAACAGAAACTATTCTATTCATCCATGCTTTAACATATCCAATCTCTCTTAATCCTTATGCATTCAAACCTACACACAGGGCTGGAGTTGCGGCTCAGTGGTTGAGCACTTGCCTAGCATTCATGAGGCACTGAATTCAATCCGCAGTACCACATACAAATAAATAAATAAAATATTGTGCCCATCTACAACTAAACATTTTTTTTAAAAGAAACCTATACATATAGTTTCTATGAGATACTACTTCCACGCCTAAAGAAATTTCTCTGTATGATGAAGATAATGTAGACTCTGGGTTCAGAGGAACCATTTACTAAGTGCATGAATTTGGAAAGACTATTTACTCCTTTATGCTTTTTCACTTGTATTATGCAGGGAGTAGTTTAAAGCTCACAGGCTTGTAGGAAAGTTTAAATGCGTACACTGCCTAGCATGTGTAAGGCTCTGGGTTTGAACCCCAAGACGGCAAAAAATAAAACAAAAATGTTTACTTTGCAATGCATATGCCGAGTGTTAGTAATAAAACAAAAATTGTTAGTTCCTTTTTCTTAAATCTCTTCCTCCATCCAGCTGTGGCAACGGTATGAGGAATTCCGAGGAATTCCTAACACATGACCACCTTTTTCTAGTTACTTTATTCCATTAGTAATATTTAATTAAGTTTACTTTATGAGGATAAGAGAGAGAGAGAGAGAGAGAGAGAGAGAGAGAGAGAGAGAGAGAGAGAGAGAACACATCTCACTCTATGGACAAGCACCAGGAGGAAGCAAGGAGTGTCCCAGGGGACAGAAAACCCATTCCTCCACAGCGTCTCCAGATAGACAACCCTGAGGCCGGAGGAAGCAGGGGACGAGAAAGGCACGTTTATCACAACTTCCCTCACGTAAACCAGAGTCTTTCCACAGATGTGACATGTATAAAACAAACCACACTGACCCACAAAACAAAACTCCTGAGATAAGTGAGGCTGATTTCAAAAGTGAAATAAAAGAAATGGAAAGGTCAGTACAAAAATACTTTTTGAAGCTTAAAACACACATTGAACTAAATTTTAAAAAATGCATTGTGCTGCTCCTGTTTTACAAGAGTAAAGAGTATAGATGCACACACGGTCCTTATCTAAGTAATTATTTCAAATGTTCATAACCAAGATAGGACCTCAGCGAAACAAGAGAGTGCTTCTGGGGCAGCAGGGCCTGACCGCTGTTCTTCAAACTGAAATACGCTGCTACCCACCTGTGGGACTTTCCAACCCCTGGTCCTCCATCTCATCCAGATATGAGAGAGACTTTGCCACATATCTCACAAATATCCAGCTATGCCATTTTTAAAATGGAAATAGAACTGTGTTTCTAGTACTCTTTCATAAAAGCATAGTCAGCCATTAATTGTCCTAAGTGAATTAAATTAGTATTCTCTTCTAAGTCCATTAGAGACAGAGAAGGCAAACATAAAATTGCTGCAGGGAAATCTAAGTGGAGTTGCTGCTCCGATAGACAGAACAGGGCTGAGAAGCTGTCTGCTCTCAGAAATAAGAAAGACTCAAAACTGCTAATTATACAGCTCCGATGACTGCATAATCATATAGTGCTGACGTGATGATGTACATGCTCAGTTTAAGTTACTTAGAATAGGATGAAGATGAAAGAGGCCATGTCAAATTGACATCTAGGTCAGGACACAATATGCCTCTTCAATCTAATGTAGCATGATACTCCCTACCCAGGGGTTCTGTGTCCACAGATTCCATCAACTGCAGATTGAAATTATTAAAAACAAAACAAAACATTGCATCACTACTAAACATGTACAGACTTTGTTGTCATTATCCCGTAAACAGCACAGTATAACAACTATTCACACAGTGTTTACAGAATAATAGGTATTGTAAGTAATCTAGAGATGGTTAAAGGTATGCAGGAGGCTGTGCATAGAATGTATGCAAATAATACACCGTTTTACATAAGGGAGTTGAGCATCTATGAATTTCCATATTCATAGGAGGTTCTGGGAACAAATTCCCTACAGATACTGAGGGATGATTGTATCTGGCTTAAAATTAAAAGTTAGTCTAGCAGAGTCTGTAAAAATGATCATCTTTGTACATCTATAAACAGTGATGAAGAACAGAGGCATTTTCTTGGATTTCTTGGGTCTATACTTGAGTAAGACGGTGGACAGCAGAGTTTTTCTGCAGTCAGATAGTAAATATTTATTCTTGTAGACTGTGTGTGTGTCAGTTGTAACTACTTCTCTCTCATTGTAGCATGACAGCACCTCAGAAAACATGTAAATGAATGGATGTGGCTATGTTCTGATATAATTCTATTTACAAAAACAGGTGGTGGACTGGATGTAGTAAGTAGGCTGTTGTTTGAAAACCACTGGTATAAAGAACAAAAGGTAAATATCTAGGACAAACTATTCTAAACAATCTCTGAAACACATTCCTAAATTTCAAATGGTGAACAAGAAATACATATAGATGGGTGCAATTTCATGGGTCTATAATAACATTAAACACATTGCAATTTCATTTTCAGTGAACTCAATATGTGATTGAACCAATTTTTCTATATATCATCTGAACCTGAGAATCATTTACCTGTGCATAATCACCAAAGGGCGGAGAATAAGCAATGCACTTCTCCAACGTATGCTGCGATTCATTTCCCTGAGAGATTGCATCCAGAATGTTGCTTGAAATTCCAGTCTTATGTAGAGTGGATTTACTTGCAGCAGCTAAAGGCAAAATAAATACAATCTAGATTGTTCTATCGCAAATTATAAACAGAGTGCAAAACTCATTAACTAACACAACAACTCTACACAACACAACTTTTAGTTTGTGAATATATATTTATGTTTGTTTTTCCCAGGGCAAAATATATATAGTATGTGATATTGTTTCATTTATTTGGAAAAACTAAAAATGAAAGTTTGCCCCATGGGTAAAATAACTATGATGGAAACATTTAAACATACATATCTAATCTCTCCAACAAAGTATACAAAATGTAAATTAAACATTCTTGTTCAAGCAATGGTTGTCATCATCAATTTTTAGGCCAGATCAAAGCAGAGTCAGCATATTTAAAACATATTTAATTTTTTTCTGATTTTTTAAAAGATAAAAAATTAATATTTAGGTTCAAGAGGACACTTTGTAAAATACAGAAGATGTATATTAAAAATGAAATTAATCTTTAATTTCTTTTCATTCAATCCTATTCTTTCTGGAGGTAACAGATGAGAATTTATTTCTCCAGATTTACTTCATATATTTATACAAATATATGTATGAGAATATATAGCTTTAAATAAACATAAATTGAATCATTTTATGGATATATTTGCTTTCTCCACTTCAAATATGCTTCAGTGATTATTTCATATGAATGATTAAGAAGTTGCAGGGTTCTGGTTTATGATGAGCTATTTATTTACTCATTCCCTTACTGATAAACAATATGTTCCAAATTTTCACTATGGACAATCAACATTGCAGTTACTATCATTGTGTCTAGAGCACACATTTGTGACCTTAAAAATATCTGAGTGGGGATGGGGTGGGAGGGGGCTGGGGTTGTGGCTCAGTGGTAGAACGCACGTGTGGGGTGCTAGGTTCGATCCTCAGCATCACCTAAAAATTAACTAAAGGTATTGTGTCCAACTACAACTAAAACAAAATATTTTTTAAAAATATTTGAACAAAAATATAAATATTTGATTCATATTAATTGGAGAACTGAGAAGGTCCTCAAGAAAATAAATGAGTGACAGAAGAGTGGATGTATAATACATGAAAATATTACAGTAAATCCCATTAATCTGTACAGTTTAAAAAGTTGTATAAAGTCACAAATTATTTTCTAGCAATATTCTATATAATCAGCCCAATCTTGTAACTACTTAGAATTTTTCAAGAACAAAAAGAAATATATTTTATTAGAGGTTACCACTCAATTAAATATCAAAAATTAGAACTAAAAAAAGTAAGTGAGAATTTCATTTCTACTGATTAGTAGTCATGAATTTGGGGGGTATCCAAATACTCTGTATATTACTTAGAGGTTTACATTTCTGGTTTATAAATATAGTACTGCCAAATAATTCTTTGCCTCCATTAATTTCAATCATAATTCAACAATCCAATAGAACGATTACATTCTTAATAAAATACTATTAAAATATTTTTCTTAAATGAAGTAGTATTCAATTTAAGTGTCTTAATTTCAATTTGTTTTTTCAATTTAAAGAGTGAAGTTATGATTTACGGCTTAATTTGGTTAACAGAAATTATTTGCTTTCCATTGATAAAAATTAAAGTAAAACCCATCATAGAACTTGTCCAGTAAAACTGCAAAACACTGATAGTGGCCTCCACTTACATGATAAGCACACACTGGGCAACACACTTGCCAGATTCAAATATGGATTTTTACTGAGTCTGATTTCTTTTGGTGGTTCTCCCAAGAGTGAAGTCTGATTCTTAGAGGCAGCCTATTCATCAAAAACAAAAGATGGAGCATTTAATAAGAGGTATAGGAAAATAAAGATGCAAAATAGAGAAATACTTATTTTTCAATACATCTAGTCTACTGTGATTCAAATTTGTGGAACCTAAACTTTGATGATATAAACTTACAAAATATATACAAATTTTGATTAAAATTATATTTTACCTGCTATTATTTTTAAATTACTTTAAAAAACCTTCTAGAACCACACTATTTTATTTTTTTTCTAATATTTATTTTTTAGTTGTAGTTGGACACAATACCTTTGTTTTATTTATTTATTTTTATGTGGTGCTGAGGATCGAACCCAGGACATCACTCACACTTAGGCAAGTGCTCTACTGCTGAGCCACAATCCCAGCCCCTAGATACACACTATTTTAGAATTAAAATAGAACTAAAGAAGGCTGTTATGGCTCAGTGGTAGAGTGCTTGTGTAGCACGTGTGTGTGTGTGTGTGTGTGTGTGTGTGTGTGTAGCGCTCGCGCTGGGTTCAATCCTCAGCACCACATAAAAATAAAATAAAGGTATTGTGTCCAACTATAAGTAAAACAAAATGTTTTTTTTTTAAATAGAACTTAAGATATCCTGTCCAACTTCTCACTTGAATCTGAAATAATTCATCTTCATCATGGAAAAAAAATTCTATATCACATCTCTAGAAATACAAATATCAATATTTATTATTATGATTCTTATTTTATATCATGTGACCACAAACCAAATAGCAAAACTGATTTACCTCTGGTACTAAAAATAATAGCAAGCAAAATAAGGGAGTTTAATAAAACCAAACTCTACATTTAGATGACGAGGCTAGAAATTCACATTTCCTGAAAATGCATGTCACTATATTTTGATATGACTGCTTAGGTATGAGGATTCTAGCATTTCTTTAACAGAAGAAAAAGATGAAATCATGTTCTAATTCTTCAGTGTATTTCATATACTCTGATAGAATTTTTTACTTTTTAACTCTCTGATCATAAAGATTTTAAAATAAGACATTGTTCAGGATTATATAATTAAACCTAGAAGCTTGATTTTCATGTTTAATTGGCTTTAATTTTGTTTCCTAAACAGAATAAAGGAAGTATAACCTCCAAGAGGTTAAATTTATAGGGAAAAGGAATCCAGCAAAGAGCTCACACATTTTGTTTCTGAAATGTTCAGATTTGTGGGGTTATATACACATCAGAGGTTCTCAACTCTGGCTCTAAATGAGAATAAGTTATAAAGTTTTACAAAATACAAAATATTCCTATAAATAAAGGCCTAGAATCATGTGTCTTTACTGGTGAAGTATATTAGACATTTTAAAAGAAATTTAACATCAGTCTTTCTAAAATTCTTTCACAAAAATGTAGAAGGAACACATCCTAAATCATTCCATAAGACCAGGATTTGTCCTAGTATCAAAACCAGACAAAGACAATACCAAAAAACTATAGACCAATATCTCTTATGAATATTAAAGCAAAAATCCTCAACATATTTCTAGCAAACTGAATTCAGCAGAACATTAAAAGCATTATAACCCATGACCAAATGAGATTTATTCCTAGAATGCAAGAATAGTTCAACATGTGTAGGTTCATCTATGTAATATACCACAATAACAGAAAAAGGCAAGGAAAACCATGATCATCTCAATGCAGAAAAAGCACTGGGCAGAATTAAACACCTGTTCATGATAAAAAGACTCAACAAAACAGGAATAGAAGGAAACTGTCTTAGCATAATAAAGTTATATATGAAAAGCCAACAGCTAACATCATATTCAATGACTAAAGACCAGAAACTTTCCTCTGAGATCAGGAGCAAGTCATGCCAACGCTTGCCTCTTTCTAGTACATAGTATTGCAAGTTCTAGCTAGATCAGTTCAGCAGGAAAGAGAAATAAGAAGCATTCAAATCACAGAATAAAAAGAAAACATGATCTTATAAATAGAAAACCTTACCCTCCGTAGTTCTAAACTGTTAGAATAAAATAATCTAGCAAAATTGCAGGATTAAAAAAAATCATGAAACCAATTGTGTGTATACACAAACATTGAACAAACTGAAAAGAACATTAAGAAAGTAATTCCCTTTATAAAAGCATCAAAATAATAAAATACCTAGGAATTAATTACGAAGGAAAAGTCTTGTAGTAAGCCTACAATACATTGTTGAAATTAAAAAAGATATAAATAAATAGAAAGATGTCCTTATAAATAATATCACTATTTAACTGGATCAGTATTAACGATTCTCCTAAACTCTTCCGAACTGTAAAATTTTGAGCTTTTATTAGCTCATATTTAATTTTTAAGATACCAAGTGTTTTTAAAGCCATTCTTTAGCACATACTTTTCAAAACAGCAAATAGTCATAAAATAAAAAAATTCATATTGACAATATTT